GCAGAAGTATATAAAAGGCAGGGACAAGGAAGAAATACATGACAGTAAGTAACTGGGTTGGACTTTAGGAATGGGAGAAATAAAAAAGGGATTTGGGAACCACGGGAAAGGAAATAAATGCACAGCACTGATTTGGTAAAGGATGAGGTTGAGACTGTTCAACTGCCCAGATTCAAGATTTTTAGTTAGCTAACCAGGGAACATTTTGAAAGAACCTATAAGGAAACTTTATTTCATATTTTAAAAAATATCTTGTAATCTGAGCAATTACTTTGAAGATAACAATATGCAATATGATAACCATTGTTAATTTCCTCTCATCTTGTTTTGAAGTTCTGTATCATTTTTACTTTTTTCTCTTTTAAAAAATCAAATAGTAGAAAAAATATGGAACATAATTGTGTAAATTAACATCTCTTTAGCCATTTCCTGTTTTTGTTACTTGTTAGTTTCTTTCTAGCTTGCTTCTTAACATAACAAATAGGAGTTGGTAAGCTCCCCTAAGAATAACCTCATTCTTCTGCCTTTAAGTTGAATGGTTTATTAAAAATGACTGCTCCAGCTAGCACAAAAAGACAACTAGATGAACAAATGATCCTTAATATTATTGTCAAAATGGCATATAGTCTGGTCTTAGGGGGCCATTAGTTACCATGCTGGACACTGTCTTAGCAATGACTTTAAATAAGTCACTCTTCTAATTAATATGCAGAATAGTTTCTTGCATTTGGTAAAAGCTCTGTGTAAGGGAACTACATTCACTTGCAACTCAGCAAAGGTGACAGCTCTGTGGTCTCATTTAATCATTTAAATCAGACATAAGTAATGAACACTCAAATCAGCCTCAAACGGCTGTCATTTGATTTCAGCCCCAAAATTCATTTAACGAATCATTCTATGCTATCACATTTCTTGTTGGGTTAAGAGTGGGATATTGATTTATGAAAATATGTATGTACATCTTGCAGATCTCTTTGCCATGATGAAATATCCTTATTTACTTCTGATAATTCAGTGAATGTCCACTCTGTCTTTATGTATAATATCTCAGGGTATATGTTTTATTATATTTTTATTTTCTATATCTTTATATTTATAGTGTTTTGTCTAACAGTGTAGATTTGCATGTTGCTTTTTATGCTTAGTCTAAAATTTTGCTTTCCAATTGGAGCATTTAGCATATTAATATTTAATATAACTTTGTATATCTCAATTTTTCCACTTTATTTCTGTTTATCCTTTCTTATCTTCTTTTATCAACTCTACTGAATTTTTGGTTAGAATTCTTTGTATTTTGGGTAGTTTCCATAGTGATTATTACATGTATCTTTATGGCCTATCTGGAAATAATATTACTTAAGCAACATAACTAACTTTACAACAGTATAATTCTATTTACTTTCTCCCTTCCTGTATATTATTATTGCCATGTATTTTATTTCTACTTATGTCATAAACTACAATATTTGATGATTTTTGAGTTACAGTCAAGGGTCTTTTAATGTAATTTAAATATAAGAATATGAATAGATAATTTTTAAACATCTTTTCCCCTATTTTCTTATTATGGCATTGGTGAAAGCCATAAAAATACATATAATAAATTTATCATCTTAACCATTCTGAGCACACAGTTTTAGATATTAATTTCTTATGGATATATAATTTGTGAATATTTCTTCCCATTGTTACTTTACTTCTTACTATGTTACTATTATCCTTTGGTGCATAAATATTTTAATTTTCATGAAGTTCAATGTGTCTATATTTTCTTTTATCACCTTTACTTTGGTGGCGTATTAAAAAATCTGGCAAATATGTCATGAGGCTTTGTCCAAAATTTAAGGACAGATATTCTTTTGTATGTGAAGATCTAGTTTTCTCAATACCATTTGGTAAAAAGACTTAAAATTTTCTTCTCTGTTTACCAAATCTGGTGCTTACTGCTTCTTTTAGTTCTGTGTTTTAATTTCCTTTATCGTGAAGAATTGTTGTAATGCACATTCTTTTGGATTTTCTCCAAAAATATCTCTTTTGCCTTTTTCTTTAAAGACTATTTTTATGAATATAGATAGTTGACTAGTGACAGCATTTTTCTTTGTTTTTCCTACAGCATCTTAAAGATGTTTTCCCTTGCGCTCTGGCCTCCATTGTTTCTAATAAGAATACAGCCACTGTTATTATCATTTATAACTTATCTGACATACTTCACCCCCCCCACATCCAGTGCTGCTTCTAAGACATGACTTTTTTATTTTCAGCATTTTGACTACAGTATGCTTCAGAGTGTTTTTATTTTTATCTTGTATTTATCTTGTTTCAGAATCCTTTAGCTTACCGTATCTGTGGGTTGATATCTCTTATCAATTTGGGAGTTTCCTGAATATCCTGTCCTCATATACTTCCTTTTTATGTTTTCTTTCTCCTCTCTGTTGTTTCCACTAAAGGTTATTAGAATATGGAATGTTGCATTTTTATTGCTTTCTCTGTTTTTCCGTATTTGTTCATTTGGATAATTTCTGTTGGACTTTCTTCTGTTTCACAAACTCTTCTACCTGGCCCAATCAGATATTAAATCAACACAGTAGATTTTTAAAAAATCTCTTGTATTATGTTTTTCATTTCTAGCACTAGCATTTACTTCTTTTTATAGCTATTTACCTAAAATATTTCATCTGTTCACAATGCTATCTACCTTTTCCTCCTGGTAGATTAACATATACTATATTAATATTAGGTGTAATATTAGGTATATTAGTTACATATAACTAATGTAATATATTGATAGATATTATATGTAATAAGTAGCTTAAAATCTGGATCATCTCTGCCTCTGTTACTGTTGATTCTTGCTTTTCTTGGTCATTTTTATGAAACTTTGCATGTCTCAGAAATTTTTGATATGTTACAGATACAATTTAAAAAAGAAAAGAATTAAACAGCAGAGGATCAGTACATATTATCTCCAGAAAGAGTAGAGCCTTTGTCACCCGGTAGTTTAGTAGGATAACTTCATTTACTATATCATTTCTCTTTTAACATGGCACATTCATTTATGAAAATTTTACCCCTACCTTACTATATTTTTGGTTTTGGTTGTCACTGTTCTTTTCCTTCTGGATTTGTGTCTGGTTATTGTTAAGACTCCAGAAATCCCATAATGCTTTGTAGACCACATACAGGACCTGCTTTCTGAGCTCAGAGAGCTCTCTCTGCTTTGTATCTGGAAGCTCATTCCCTTTTCCACTTCCTAACAATGGTTGGCAACCTTGAGTGCCTCGTATTCATACAGGCTTTGGTCTTTCAGAACGCTCTTTCGGTGTTCTAGTGTATGTTCAGAACTAGCAACCCTAAGAGACTTTTAAAGGTGTTATCTTTGCTCCCCATTTCCTAGCAGCCATGGGAGATTGTTCTCACAATACTGTTCTACAACATCAAGTTTCACAATAGGAATGAATGAAAGTTTTAAGCAAGTGGTGGCTGCTGACGTTATAGTCCTGTTGTGACCGTTTGTCACCTGGACGCCTCGCTGCTTCCCTGTGAGCAGCCTTTCTGGTTGGAGGAGCGTCCTAATTAGAGAAAGCAGGTGTTGGGAGACTCAGAGACGCTCTGATGCGTAGGGGAAGTCAGAGTTGCTGCAAATAGATCAGGGTTGACGAAGATGTGCTCCAGCTGTTTGAATAAACTTGGAGTTTAAAGATTCTTCAGAATCATTTTGAGCTCAAATATTCAAACAGACAGATTTGCATAAACTGCATTTCCTTTAGTTAGTGTTCTCATTTTTGTTTAGTAACAGAAGCTTGTCTCGAACTGCAGCCTTCCTGAGAACCATTGATTACTCACTGATGGAATAAATAAATCTGCCTTGTTAGGACACCCCTCCCCTAAACACCTACCCCAAGCCCTAATTCTTCTTCCAGCCCTCAGGGTGCAGGCATCCTACTGCCATTGTACTATGTGCCAGTGACACCTGCATGGCCTCTTGGCTTCTTGCATTATTGCTACCTGTTGGATCTCTTTTGCTGGATTCTGCCTGCTGGACCTCATCTCTCTGCAAGCCAACACTTTCTTGAACCATGTTTGAGCTGCTGTCTTTCTTACATTCAGGAGATATCAGTGTGTCTCAAAACTTAGTGTCCACGGAAATCACATGGGAATTATGGTCATTAAATGCATATTATGGTGCTCTAAGACCTGGGAGGGTCTGCTAGGCATCATATGTTCTGTTAACTCTGCTGCCAGGTGTTCCAGACTAGCAATAGTAACACAGAAGGTTGTCCAATTGCTCTTTCCAGCTTAATATCCAGCATCTGTCTTAGATGCCTTCATGCTCCCAGGACTTTGGAAATGTGAAGCTGAGGACCTGTGACAATCACAGAACCTAAGTATTAACGACTATCCTGGTCAATCCATTCTCCAAGTTGCCTACCACATCTGTCAAGAATTGGCATTACTTTCGCTATTTTCCCTAGACTGAGAAAAAATTCTGCAAGAATTACCAAGATCACCTTACTTATCCCTTTCTTCCGGCCAGTTTCTCCTGTAAAACTGCCAGGTTCCACAGGAGCAGGCTGCCGCTACTGCTGGATTGGTGGCAAGAACTAGACTTTCTCCAGCCTGCTCTACTGCTCCTTCTTCATGAAAAATGTAACCGCGCGTTTGTGTGCCTGAGTAGCTGACACTACCTGCACTCAGAGAAAGCAACTGTCACTTCCATGTAAGGGAATTCTAGTACTTTCCCTGTAGTTCCAAAAAGAGATTGACTTGTGTGAAGCCACACGTCAAAAAAGGCTTGAGCCTTTTGGACTCACAGAATCTCCCAAATCTAGTTAAGAACAGTGCTCGCTTGCTCTACAGTCACTGCCTTAAAATCTCAAAAAAAGTGTTAGACAAACTGAAGTGCTCCCCACCCCCGTCACGGGTTCTTTTTTTCTTATCAAAAGGAAAAGTACCAGAGAAAGAAGTTTCTAGCAGATTAAGGAAACACTACAGCACAGCAAGCTACACAACAGCCTCAGTAGATTTTCTCTGTGTGCACATTTCTCTGTTCTCAGCAGTGAGAAAACCCGGCTATGTGAAATGAGGGCTTAGGGCTTAGAGAACCAGTACCATCTGAAGAGGGAGGATTAGCACCCACGCTGGAGAGATGCCCCGAGGTCACGCAGGATTTTCCCAGTTAACAACTCTGGCTTTGCAAGGAGCTTCAAGAAAACCCTTCATGGAAAAATAATAATTCTACTTTGTCTCATGCTTAATTTTTTAAAAGGTAAAAATGCTGCTCTTTTTCTCTTTACTAACCTCAGCTGACATCTTCCTTCTAGCAGTCTTGCTGCTCATACTTGTTTAAATGAAACTTGGTGATATGAAAATTTCTCGTTCTACACTCATTCTGCAGATGTATTTATTCATGTCTAATTATGCTTTTCTACATTCTCTCATATTGAAGGTGTTGTAGAACTTCAAAGACTTTCTAGGTATTCTTGAGTATACAGTGTTCTTTCAGTATTCTTGGGGAATTGATTCTAGGACATTGTGGGTGCCAAAATCTAAGACTATTCAAGTTTTTATGTAAAATGGCATAGTACTTACATATAACCTATGCCCACCTTCCTGTCAAGTCATGTTTTGGACTTTTCAGCCCTCTTGAAACTATTAAGACTTGATGACTCTTACAGATGACTAAACAGGTTTTACGTGGTAAGGTGGGTGTGAACCTTTTGGGGGCCAGGGCAGAATGTTATGATTTAGAGCTGGAACATCCCTCACAAGTGTCAGAGGTGGGATCACAGGGCGCTACACTCAACAGTGAGTTCATAGCTAAATGAACTGTTAGGAGGGATCCGGTTGGCAAAGATGTGTCACTGCAGATGTGTGTTTGGAGGTTGTATCAGCTCCTCCTTCTCCTCCTGCTTCCTGGCTGCACTAAAGTGAACAGCTTTCCTTTGGGATACCCTTCCACCATGTTTCTGCCTTGGCACCGGCCGGTCATGCGTGGACTGCATCCCCTGAACCATGAACCAAATTAATTTTCCTTTAAGTTGTGAGTGTCAAGGCTTCTGTCCCAACCATGGGAGAGTGACTAATCCAGTGACTTGCATTAGCTTGTAGTCTATTGCTGCAATTAACACACAAGTAACAGCTTGGCATAAAATTTAGGCTTTGATGCTTGACTTTTCTTTGCATTCACCGATATTCATTTTCTTCATAGTTTATATCACTTCTTCACTTTATTGTGTTTTGGATTCCGTGGACACAGCTACATAGAGTAAAAGTTTTTCTTAAATATCAGTGAGGTCTTATCCCCTAGCAGCTGTTGCGATATCAATATGATATATCATATCGTATATGTGATGTGATATATATGATGTCATATATATCAACATAAAAAGGTACTATATTCTTAAGAAAGCATGGATAACTATATTTATGCAAATACTATACCTATTTTCTAATGGACATTGAACACTACTTTGTATATGGCATAAATTTTTAATTTTTAATGTAATTCCATATGCACAAATCAATAGCCATAGTAAAGAAAGTGGAGGTAATAAGCAGGTAGCTTAATTTTCTAAAAAGCATTAGGAGTAAATGTGTTTTATAGAAAAGACAATGTAGGTAAATGTGTTCATGGAATGCATTTTTAAATGAAAACAAATTTTTTCAAGGTAAAGCATCACAAAGCCTCTGCTTCCAGCTTGGTAATCCTCCACAGTATTGTCTAAATTTCACAGTGATGCTAAAGTGTCTACCTTGAATTGTTACAGGTCTTAGATCATACTGACTGCTCTAGAGCCTTATTATTTGCTCATTAAGTAGAGACACTAGTGGGTGACTTCCAAGTTCTTGGACAAAGTAAACTGTTTAAGTGAGTAAGAGTCTTCTAAGGCCTCTATAGCGCTAAAAAGTGCTAATGAGTAGGGAATCCCATAAAATGCATAGACTGAGCTTGTAATTAGTATTCCATGGCGGCAGCTGCCCTGGTCCTCTGGGTACTTGCCGGAGGGTGAGTTGAGTTTGTCCTGGATGTGTGTTCGCTCATCCTACCTATCAAACCTCACCTAGGGTGGGTCCACTGGTGTTGTCCCATCTCCCTGAGAAGTGTCCCTGCCCATCCCCTTAGCACCTTGCACCTTCCTGATTTGATAGGTGATTTTTACTTTGTGCAACAGCAAATTTCCTCCTTGGGCTTTTTGTTTCTCATTTTGTCCAAGATATTTTTATTAGTGCCAGTCAATTTTACAAAACATTAGGTTTGAATCTGTACAGTATGGTTTGATCATACCCCTCCCTCTCTCTCCTCCCTCACCTGCCCCCCTTTCCTTCAGTGGCTCTTTCTTGTAGAATAGTCTTCCTTCTACCTTGCGGGCATCTTTCTTGGATGGCACAGAAATACGTGATTCCTGTCTTTCACTCAGCAGGACGTCCATTCCTTTTCTTATAACTGACAAAATTTTGTTCTTCATTACATTTGAATCACTCTCCATTGTGTGTATACACCATGTTTCCATTATCCATCCATCTTTTTTGCAGGGTGCTAGGCTGGTTCCATATCTTAATTCTTGTTAATTATGATGCAACAAACATGGCTATGCAGATGTTCCTATTGTATGTTGACTTAATTCCTTCAGGTGTAAACCAAGGAGTGGCTGCTAGCTGGATCAAATGCTAGCTCTATTTTTAGGTGGTTTTTTTTGAGAAATCTCCATACCGATTAACATAGCAACTGCAGTAATTTACATTCCCCCCACACCAACATCCTCACCAGCATTTATTGCTTTTGGTATGTTTGATGATTCCCATTCTCAGTAGGGTGAGATGAAAACTCAGTGTAGCTTTGATTTGTGTTTTCCTAATGGCGAAAGATGCTGAACACCATTTCATGTTCTTATTTCCTATTTGTACATCTCCTGAGAAGTATCTATTCAATTCATTTGCCCTTTTCTTGATAAAGCTATTAGATTTCTTTGGTGGTAAGTTTCTTTTTTAAATTCCTTATATATTCTGGATATTAATCCTCCATTGGAAGAGTAGTTAGCAAAGACTTTATCCAACCGATAGGCTTTCTCTTCACTTTATTACTTACTTCGCTAGCTGTGCAGAAACTTTTGAATTTGATCTAGACCTATTTGTTGATTCTCGCTATTATTTTCTATGCTACTAGCGTCCTATGCAAGATGTCTTTGCCTGTGCCAGTGGCTACAGGTGTTTCCTTTATGTTTTCTTTCAGCAGTTTCAAAGTTGCAGGTTGTATACCTAGGTCTTTGATCCATTTTGATTTGATTTTGTGCAGGGTGAGAGATAGATATCCAGTTTTAATCTTCTAAATATAGATACCCAATTTCCTCAGCACCACTTCTTAAATAGGCTGTCTTTTCTCCAGTGTACATTTTTTGACTCCTTTGTCCCAAATCAAACGGCTCCAGTTACAAGAGCTTGAGTCTGTGCCCTCTATTCTATTCTGTTCATCTGTGTATCTATTTTTTTGTGCCAATATCTTGCCACATCTTTGCTTCTGTGGTTTTATAGCACGATTTTAAATTTAGTACTGTGATGTCTTAACGCTTGTTCTTTTGGCTTAGGCTTGCTTTGGCTGTCCTGGGTCTTTTGTAGTTCCACTGAATTTAATTTTTTTTTTGAATTTTGATACAGATTGCATCGAATCTGTAGATTATTTTTGGTAATATGGCCATCTGAATAAAACTAATTCTCCGCATCCACGGATGTGAGAGGTCTTTGCATCTAGTGTCTGCTTTAATTCCTTTCTTCAGTGTTCTGTAATTTTCACTGTGGAAGGCTCTCATCCCTTCACTAAGCTATGGTGACTACCCATGATTTTCAGTTAACTTGTAGCTCATTAACTGATACAAATATTTTCTGATTCATAACTGCCACACCTTTAATCTATACTTACAATTAATATAGCCATAGCCCTTGTAACATGGGAAAGGAGTCACTGTAAATTGATAGAAAAAAGTCTAACCGGTAGCAGAAAAGGTCCTTTACCTTATTGAGAATTTCTCTGCAGAGCTGGCCTCCTTAGTGGCTACTGAACTCATTTGCAGAGCAAGGTCACCCATTCCCCCGTTCTCTCCTGGTTATTTGAATGGTGAGGTTCACAGCGTAATGAGAAAAACTCACATGTAGCCAATATCTTCATAGCCTTCCTGCCTCTGCTAAATTTTAGAACCTTTTCCCTGTCCCTGCCTTGGGATGAATTTGACATGGGCTTTTTACAGCTCCACAGTTATGAGGCCATCTTGCGTTCCCTGCCTCCCTTTGTCACTTTCTTCTCCCTGAAATTCTCATTTAAAATGTCCACAAAGTGATAGTAAGTCCTTTCTTAGTACAAGAAGCTAAAATATATACAAAATGTTAAGCAAGCCATTTGGCAAATTTTAAATAACTCTTTCAGTCCTGTATAGAAAAATTAATTGCACAGATATAAAGATAGGCTTTTTTATCATCTCCCCACTTTTCCCAAACCCCTTTCTACTCCAGACCTTTAGAAAGCAAAATAATGGTGAGAGAGAGAGAGAGAGAGAGAGAGAGAGAGAGAGAGAGAGACAGAGACAGAGACAGAGACAGACCAAGACCCGGCAGCTGGCACAGTATGAAAATTTCTGGAGATGTTACAAGTGGGCCCCAACATCATAAGGTTCTCAGGAAACAAAGCACTGATGAGATAGATTTGCTCTGAGGAGGTGCGGGGGAGGAACCCAGTTCCAAGGCCTGGGTGTCCTTATGTGGCCCTATTTGCTCATAAGTGGATGGCATCTTGCAGGCAGAAGGAGAAATGAGTAGGCATTACTGGCCTCAGGATGTATGGCACTTTTCAGTAACATTTTTCTGATAATATTGTTTGAGAAATGTGGTTTTCCAAACAGGACTATTAAAATTGAAAATATATTCTCCTTTGAGGTTTAATTATGAAAACTAAGACCATTTGGCAGCAGCACTTAAAATGATATTTTTACGGTGTACTCTTATCCGTACAAGAGACCAAAAAACAAAGGCGCATGAGAGCAATTGAACTCACATTAGTGTTAGAAGGGTCAGATGCAGTTATGCATATCTGAAACTAAGCAGAATTTGCAGTAGAATGAAATAACCATTTGAAATCTTTATAAATCTTAAATACATCCTTTAAATACAAAACAAACCCTAGATACTCAACACTTCCATATTAATATCAAGGCTTATGCTTTTTATTTGTTTAAATAAGAAGAAGACTGGGGCTGGGGATTTAGCTCAGCGGCAAAAGCG